AAAGAGTGTTCAAGTTATAAAAAGTCACTAAAGATAAAGATAATCAGTTGTAATAGATTCGATTTTCTTAAACAATTCTCGTGAATAAAAATAATTAAATTGAGGAAAAAAACCTACCTAAAAATAATAAGCCAACTTTCCAACCAAAAGTAGTGATACTTTGCAAGTAGTGATGGATACTTTTGCAATGGTGAATATTTGATATCAATAACATTATTACTTTTTCTAATTAAATGATCTAAGTATTTTATAAACCTTTAAAATGTGAGATTCTTATGGGGTTTATTTGCGATTTTTTTTTTAATTATTGAACCAAATAAATAAATTGAAAAAAAAAAAAAACTTAGAGTAGTGAAAATATATGGCATTAGAAAAAAGTACTAAATATTTCTATAAAGTTAAAGCTTATCAACATGTACATCAAAGTGATGCATCTCAATCGAATAATACAATGCTCCTCTTATTATCTGCATTCCACATGTATCACAAAAGAAACGAATTTTTTTTTATACAAAAACCGATATATACTAATCAATTCAATTCACTCGTCATATTGAAATGGGTTCATCATCATAGATAGAAAACACTGTCAGAAGTTAAGTCAGGTCATCTTCATCGAGTGGTTGCTCTTCATCTTCAGCATTGTCAGACTTCAAAGCACTCACATCACCTGTTGGAAGTTTCCTTGCAAGCCGAATGATCTGCAGGCAATTACATCAAAAATGTCATACAAATATTGTAATAGTATCAGTAGTTACTGATTGAAGATTGTGTATGTTGCATAAGATTGAAAAGCAGATGATAATCATTGTCCATCAAAAATAGGATGTCAAAAGCAGACAAGGGAAACAACAGTTGAAACTATGCAGTGACAGCACGGTTAAGGTAGCCAACCGCCGAAGGCTCTATTTTTAAAGGGCACCAATTTTTTTTAATTCATATAAATAGAAAAATTGTACATAATTAAATTATATAAGAAAATATTATTATAAAAAATAAATTAATGAATTGATGTGATGTTTTTATTTCTTAATAAAAATCTACTTGTAATTTTAGGAAAATAAATCTGTGATGTTTAAATATGAAGAGAAAAGTATGATATATAATATAACATATTATTGAATTATTTTCTTTAATTTCTCTTATTCTATATTTCTCTTATATTGTTAATAAATAAAGATCACTTTGTAATTTCTCTCTTTCC